TGTCAAAAAGAGTGGAAAAATCGCCCCCAGACTCTTATTTTTCTGTTTTTTGCCTATCCCTCCCGTAGAGAGGGACGTGCCCGACTCAACTGTATGCTCATGCCGTCTCTTGTTCTTCGATGCAGGGAGCCGTTCGGGGAACTTCTGACTGGGTCAATCCAGACCTGGGTCAGTCAGGCCTTGCAGAGTCCCACAAAATCCTGCGAGACCCTGCACCCGGACCCGGGTCGACGCGAAGGACCCATGCAGGATCCTTCACCAAGCCCGGGTCAATGCGACCCTGCTCCTGCAGGATCCTGCAAGATCGGGCGCTCTGGCTGACCCCCGCTTGCGGGGACCCCCGCCACCTGAGCCCCAAGGTCAGTCTGTGTCCTGGTCTCCGGTGCCTTTGAGTGTGCAGGCAGGGACCCGCGCAGACCGGGGCGGGGAGCGCGGCGCGGCTGGGAGGAGGAGGAGGAGGAGGAGGAGGAGGAGGAGGAGGAGGACCAGGAGCAGGAGGAGGAGGAGGAGGAGGGGGAGGAGGAGGAGGGGGAGGGGGAGGAGGCGGAAGGGGAGCATTGACCCCGTCTCGGGGCTCCCGCGCGGTGCGCCCCCGCAGCCTCCGGGAGCTGGCAGAGGGGGGGGGGGGGGGGCAGCCGAAGCCCCGCCACCTCGGGCCAGGCCCTCGCCTGTGCGCCCCAGAGGGGTGCGGCAGGCGTCCTGCCTCGATTTCGCGCGAGGCGTGAGCGTGATTGTTTGGAGAAAAAACGACATATGGTGTTCAATATGAAAAATTGAAACCAGCCATTTTCTTCCTAAACAAAAAACACAGACACACAAACACACACACACACACGCACACACACACCACCACCACCACCACCACCACCACCACCACCACCACCACCACCACCAACAACAACAACAACAACAACAACAACAACGACAACGACAACAACAACAACAACAACAACAACAACAACAACAAAAGCAGCAGCCGCAGCAACAACAACAACAACAACAACAACAACAACAACAACAACAACAACAACAACAACAAACAACAACAACAACAACAACAACCAAACAACAACAACAAACCACACAACAACAAAACAACAACAACAACAACAAACAACAAAAACAACAAACAAACAACAACAACAACAACAACAACAACAACAACAACAAAACAAAAACAAAACACAACAACAACAACAACAACAACAACAAAACAACAACAACAAACAAACAAACAACAACAACACACAACGACAACAACAACAACAACAGCAGACAGCAGCAAACAACGGCAACAAGAAAACAGGAACAACAAGAAACAAAAACAACAGCAACAGCAGCAACAACAACAACAACGACAAAAACAAAAACAAAAAAAAAAAAACAAAAAAAAAAAAAAACGCATAAACTGTTGGCGTTCCGCGCGGATTTCTTGGATCTGCGCTGGACCTCCCTCCTCCCTGGCGCGCGGCGCGCGCCAGGGGCGGCGCCGGAGGCGCCGCCAGGGGGGGGGGCCGGCGCGGATCCAAGACATCCGCGCGGAGCGCTCAAAGTTTAGGCTTGTGCCGCTTTATCTTCCTCGAGCTTGCCCGACGCCGCGCGAGCCGCTTCCACCCGGAGCGGCCTCCGCTCCCCGACGTGCCCCCCGAGGCCGTCGGTTGGCGTCTGCCGCGCGAGCCCTCTCTGCTCCCCCGGAGGCCAGGGGAGCGGGCGCGGCACGGGGGCGCTTCCTCGGCGGCGCGCAGCCACACGTGAGAGCGACCCCGGGTAAGAGTGACCTCTGGTGCGCGCCCTTTTGGGGGGCCGCGGGGGGGCCAACACACAAGCGCGCAAGACGCCACTGCCGCCTCGCGTTCGGCGATCGGGGACCCCCGTGGGCCCGGCCCGCACCAGAGGTCACTCCGGCGAAGGGTCACTCTCGCGTGCCGTCGAGGCTTGCGCGTGAGCCCCCCGAGGCTGCCGGCACTGCTTCGTTGGCCGGCGCTGCGAGCCCCGAGCCCCGGGAGCCGAGCACCGGAAGGCCCAGCCATGGAGGGCCGCACCTCCGCGCCATGGAGCGGCAGCGGAGGCCAGTCCACAGGAAGCCTTCCACGAGAAGCCCAACCCCGAGACCCCAGAACGTCCACTGATGTCTGGTGTGGGAACGTCACTCCTTCCGTCGCAAAACCATCGAAATCCAAGAGACCCAGGGCACCCTGGAGGCGAGCAGGGCGTTTCTTGGCATGGATCTCCACTGTAGAACTTCGAAACAGGGCAGATCGGATGAACGGCAGCCGCACAAGCAGGGAGGGGAAAGCAGACGGCCGGGAGGAAAGCGGAAGGGGCAAGAGCAACAAAAGGAGAGAGGCAGAACAGCGAGCGAGAGGGGAGGCAGCAGAACTACCTGAAATGCGATGGGATTGAAGGCCACACCCAGACCCCCGACGTCGGGATTGTTTCACGACGTCGACCCTCAGAGGTCTGGACCTCTTCCCTGGGACCGGTTTTGCATCCTGAATCGTTTTTCGACGGTCCCGAGGCCCGGGAAGGGACCCCAGAGGCCGAAAACAGCGAAAAACCTCCAGCCGTGAGTTTGCACAGCGCGAGGGGGGCCTGGGGGGAGACAGCAGAGCTGCCTGAAGTGCTACGGGATGGAAGGCCACGCGGCGAGCCACGCGTGAAGCGTCCGCGTGGGCCGCTGGACGCCGTGGCTTGCTCCTCCTGGTCGGGAGCGGCCAAGAGGGGGGTGTCCGAGAGGGGGGGGGTGCAAATCATGACCGGCGGCATGTGCGCGGCCCAGCGGGGGGGCCAGGGACGTAATGAAATAAGAAGAGGCGCCATGAAATCTGGGGAAATATCAAGGCCCCCGCCATGACATCCACCCCCCCTCTTTGCCGCCCCCGACCTGGGGCCCAGGGAGCCGACGAAACCGGGCCCCACAGGGGCGCTCGACCCTGCACGCCCGCGCCGGTGTCAACGCGTTGCGTCGGGGCAAAGGCGGGCCTGCCGAGGGCCACCTTCGCCCAGGATGGCGAAGGA